AAATCAAAACAGTCAAACATATCAATATACGCGGAGCAGGATGTACAACAGTTTTTTAAAACAGTTTTAAATTGATTGACCTGATGATGGTGAAATACACCGAAACATGTCGTCAAATGTGAAATGTATCAAGATATAATTATAAAAAATGTTGTAATTTTATGTATTCTTAAGTAATTTTAACAACATTTTAAGTTTGTGTACAGACGGTGAATAAATTATTATATTGATTAAACACAAACATGACGCAGTTAAGATATAAATCAGTTAATTTGTTTTATGTTAGTTGTATATGTGTAAAAATTGCTGTTATTTTTTGACATGTATGCACTGAGTGAGTTACCATGCACTTCGAATATTAGCATGGAGGTGTCAGATCCTGACAATTTGTCAATTCAGCTGCCCTTACATGTTAAATAGTTCTGTAATCCATGTTGCTTGATAAATGGCATTGTACTTAGAATTAATGCTCTCTACATATGCTTCCTCCTTTTATTTCTAGCTATACAGAATTATGATATTGAAGTGGTAGCAGTGAGTTGTATAAAATTTTTCCTTAGTGCATTATTATTCTGGTCTTACAGATCCACAATGATGATGGGGTGTGGTTGCGTCTGAGCCAGGATACAATTCATCAGTACTGCAGCAACGGCCATGGCGAGGCATGGTGCCTGCAGTATAACCAACACCTTGGTAAAACCCTGTTGCTCCCAGTGGAGGAACCAAAGTCCATTCTTGACCAGGTCATCAAGGAAACCATTATGAGGAAACTGCCAGAAGTTTCTAACAAGAATGGGCATGTATTTATTTTAAATTTCTATTATAAAGGACATAAAAAGTACTAGAATTGTCAGGCATACATAGTGAAGTTAATAGGCATATATTTTGCAACTTTAAGTTTCAAACATGCCTAAAAACATAAATTTACATTTTCTGCTGTATTATGCTATTGTGAGACATCACAGGAGATTATGTGATCGGACCTCAGTGTGTTTTGTGTCCTGCACATGTTGTGACCACTTTGTGTAAAAATTGTTTTATTTTTTCTTAGGCGAGCAAAGAGTTCCACTGTGTGTGGCCCTGGTGAATATCAAGTGATAAAGTGTGGGGCATCAGGCCACAACGTTCGTAGTCGCCCTAATCTCAAGGCTTCACCTGTTGGCATGTTGGTTCTTGGAAATCATGTGACAGTTGTGGATCATGTGAGTTACATAGTAATATGTAATTTTTAAATGTTGTTTCAAATTATTGTTCCTGTTGTATAAAGCCAAATATTTTTGAGTAGCTGATGGTATTAGGTATTTTAATTATGTTTTGTAGACAAACAAGTCCATGGATCAGGCCTGAGCTTGTTTTCCTAAGATAAAATCTAGTGGGTTCTCTAAAATATGAAGAATAAGTGCAATATCTGGTTTTAGAGAAGTGTTATGTCATAATGTATTCCAATTCGAGACATATGTGGAGAATTAGGACCATTGCACTGAACAGTTCATTTGGTTTTTCTTTGTTTAGGTGGTTAATGGAGAAGGAACGTGGGTGCAGCTGGACAAGGACACTATGAGAAAGTTCTGCTTTAACACGGAGGGTGAGGCTTGGTCTTTGGCCCTTAGCCGGAGTGATGTGGTTTACTTGAGAAAGGATGGTGTTGTGGATGAAGGTATTTAACACATTTTAGTGTAAACAGTCTGAGGATATGAATATTAATAGTGTAATTTATCTGTTTATGTTGCTGTGGTTCATTTAAATGAGGTGTCAGTGACTACAAGCATGTATGTTCTATTTTTACCTTACCTAATCTACATTCACAAATAATGCCAAAGTTATTTTTCAATCTAACATACATCCACAGGTGATGTCATAACTATTTCATGGTCAGGTTTGAAAGAATTTACACTCTTTTCCCATGTAACATACAGAAAAATATATCTTCTGCCATCTTTTGGCTAAATTTTACACTGCAATGTTATAATTTTTTGTTTTCGCTATATACCACCAAGTTTAGTAGTAGTAGTAGGATTCCATATATAGTTAGATTTCTGCTTTCCAGCATGTACTTCAATGTTGTGATGTGTGGCATTCTGTTTTCTGAGGACTTTGTGTATCCACAAGATAATAATGCTGTTTCTCTATTAATTTTTAAGTAAATCAAAGTTAGGAAAAATCTATCAAGACCCTGGATATGTAATTGCTATACTTTTGTTTTGTAAAGTGCTGCAAAAACCCAGCCTTGTATCGTTAGGTGATTAAAAGAAACTGTTCTTGAGAGGATTGTATCTTGTGAATTTAGGTGGGAGTCCTTTTCGTTGTTTTGTTTGTGAGGAACATGTTGACGGAACATCTTATCTGTGTCTATTCTGAAGTATTCATTGGAAGATTTAATATTGTTAACACAATATTTTCTCATTACTCTGATGAGTGTGCTTACTCTTTTTGACTTTCTCTTTTGTAAAGATACCAGCTATAGATACCTATTCTGTACTGAACAATACTGTATTTGTTTTGCAGAGTTTACAGTGGAAGATGGGACTCATATAGATGAAAATAGGTTTTCGCCGCACAAAAGAGGATTTGATTTCTCCAGCAATACAAATGCTACAGCATTTGCTTCAGCAGATGGCACAGGTTTCAATTTTGGGTCTGTCATGCCTTTCAATAAGGATACTCCACAGTTGGGATCAGCAGGCAGTAGCAACATTAACCCTTTTGTGTTTGGAGCATTTGCACAAGAGAACAAATGTAAGAATCCAGCAGCTCTTATGAAGTTTCAACTACATAGGCTCAAAGCTGCAAATATTGAATATTGTTTTGTTTTACTTTGTATTATTGTGATTGAAGTCTCAAACCCTTTTTTCCATGCCTCCATGTGAACAATGATGAATATGTGGATGAGAGAAGTTTTCTGAGAACAATGAAATTGCTGAGACAGCAAAAGAATTAGTTTGATGTGTTAGAAAAATTAATGTAAAATAAATAGTATATCATTTGAACATGTCTCAAGAAACTCTACAACAAATTTTACTGTCACATCAAACATGAGGAAGGTTTATGTGAAAATGGTTGTAGCATTATTGTGTTTGATTAATCAGGAAGAATGAGTAGGATTTGAGGTCCTTACAGTGGTGAGCATGAAGATGTCTATCTTCTGGGTTGTAGCACCATGTAGTCTGATAGAAGTTTACCAATGCTTCAGAGGTCCTAGCTGCCTCCATAATTACCCTGATGGTGGAGACAGCAAGGACCTCTGAGAAGGTGGTAAATTTCTACCAGTACTACAACCCAGAAGACAGCCATCTAGGAAGAATGATGATTTACCTGTAGAATGTAATGTAAGTAAAATTGTAAGATTTACTGATGCTGGAATTTGACCAAGGAAATATCTTCCCTTGCTTTCATATATAGGAGTTTAGAATGTATACTTCTCCTTCTTCTTCTGCTTCAAGGATATAGGCCATTGGCCTATTCCCAACTTAATGCATCCTCCCATCTAGCTATAGGTCATCCGATATTTTAGTATCCTCTGGGTTTATAATTTAGTAATATTTTTGGAAGTCTGTCTGTTGACATTTTCAAAAGATGTTCATACCAATTTGCTTTTTGCTTTTCTGTTCTCTCAGTTAAATAGAATGTATACTTTCTCATTAAAATTTGATACCTCATATTTTGTTGACATTGACTAATTCATGTATTCTTAATATTTTAATAGCATACCAGTTTTATTTGAGGGTTAGAATGAACTTGCAAAATGGTGGGATATTGTCTTATATGGTATGTGGCTCATGAAATTTATAATAATTCCTTTTCAGTGGGAGCAGCTACTAAAGACATCCATGACATCCTTCATGTTCCTGATGGGAAGTGTGATAAGCCTGAACTGTCTCCAAAACCCAGTCTTCCACAGTCAAGAGAGAGAAATCGAGACCGAGAAAAGGAGAAAGACAGAGAAAGTGGGAAATTTTCTGCGTTACAGAAGTGGTTGAAAGGTGAAGAGGGGCGACATAGCTCAGAGAGGCGAGGATCTTCTGGAAGGTTTGTCATTTATTGGTGACTTACGGGTTAAAGCACAGATATATTACACTTTGGCAACTCATGAACATTGTTGGCATGTAGAAAATGGGGAGAAAGAGCATTACAGTTACCTTCATAACGTCTCAAAAATCTGTGAAGTGTGCCACAGGATGAATTTTAGGATCACTTCAATCACTACCGTTGAACTTAAAAACTGAGTTGTATTTCTGTAGAGCGTATATGTGCTTACAGACTTACATGTGTCACAAGCTGTAGTAAATGGAATGAATTAACATGTACTTCTGTTTATGTTTTCATTTGTAGAGATCTACCTCCAGAGTTAGTTGGTGTATCAGTAAAAGATCTAGTGAAAGCAATTGGAGAGAGTCGAGCTAATGGAAATGGAGTTACTCCACCTGGGACTCCAAGGCGTACGTCTCGTAGCTCAAGTCCTAAGGCCTGCCCAGGAGGAGGATTGTCTCCACGACTCAGTCGCAGCTCTAGTCCTGTATCAATTCCAGGTAAGAAGCAGACTATCATATTTATTTCTTTTCTCATCTTGCTTCTCTTAAAATAGTTGCCTTACTGTTTGTAATATTATTAGTATGTTATAGATATTCTGTTAAGAACATACCCAAGTCTCAGTGATGTGCAGGCTTTTAGGTTTGTTATTGAACTGTTCCATGCTAGTGTCACTGTGACACATTTATCCGCATTTCTTAAACTGCAGTTTTATAGTATGTAATGGACATATTCCAAAGAGCGTAATAAATAACTTTGAATGATAATAACATAATACTTGGGTGAAATGACTTCCTTGTTATCATTTGCCGCGTAGCTCCACTGGGCAGACAAACTTGTGCAGGCACTGCTCACTCCCTTAACGTTCCAGCAGGCAGTGTCCCTAATGTAGCAGGTATTGTGCAGTTCATGTCTTTCGCCTGCCTCTCTCATTATCTCTGTCTGGTTTATTTGGTTTCTGCCACCTCCATGCTGCTTGTTTGGGTGACTGGAGATACATACATGTTTTCTCTCTTTCTTTCTTTCTTTCTCTCTCTCTGCAGTGTTTGGATTGAAAATGTAGTGAAAACATTGGTTGTGTAGGAATGAATACAGGAAAGTGATTACTTTCCACCAAATATTTTGCTTGAATTTTCATATTAGAGAGGAATTGTAAAAAATATATAGAGTAGGTGGATGCTTCATATGCTGAAACCTTGGCTCTGTGGTTTGTAATGCTGCATCAACAAGTGAAGTACTAAGTAGGATTTGAGGTTCTCACAGCAGTGAGTGTGAAGATGGTTGTCTTCTGTCTTGCAGTGCCATGTAGTCTGGTAGAGCATTACCAGCATTTCAGAGGTTACTGTTGCCTCCATTATCAGGGTAATAGCACTCTGCCAGCACTACAAACTTGAGGACAGCCATCTAAATGAAGTATTGGCCATGATAAAATAACAATTTTACAATTTAAGCACTGCTTCAATTAGTTGATTATGATGAGACTGCTTTTGTATGCCTTATGTTTGCTAACTGTTGTGCACAATTTCCATTCCTTTCGAGCACAATTTTTTTATGTTGTTTTCTATAAATTTATACTATTTTGATTTCATGTATTTTCTGTGAAGTGTATGTCAGCAGGTATAATTTTTTATGTTATTACCATTTGTGAAGCCCAGAATGTTGTACTACTATTACAAAGTGTATATATATAGGTTTGATGGATTTATAGCGCAAACATTAGTAGCTGGAAGTACTGTATAAAGAGTGCAGTTTCAGTGGCATTTAGTTTGGTGCACTGGTATAAAATGGAAATAATGTTTTATAGCCTTGTATTTTTCTTTCATAATCATTGTAACTTGTAAATGAATAACACTTTGATACTATACATACACACTTTTGCTTCTCTAGCATTCTTTTATTATTGTTTGAAGTTGAAAGTTAAAAATGTATGTTGGTATAAATTGAATTAACAGTATAGAAATGAATATTATGGTATTGTGTTTGTTGATAGATATAAAATATTGAATTCTGTGGATTATATTTATATGTATTATTTAAATAGGCCTATAATAAGGTATTCGGTCAATTCTGATCAGTATATTCTTCATTTTGTCTACATCATTGAAGAACTTCAGGTTTACATACATTTTAAACCTTTTGAGTGTGACTAAAAAACTTTAAAAATTCCTGTTTGTTACTTCTTGGAGAAATTCTTAGATCTCCAGTTGTCACATTAGCCAGTTAACTTTTGCTGCATTGACAAAACTTTGCTGGCTCTCCACTAGGTGGCAGACCTGTGGTAGGCTTGCTACATGATAGTGCTAGCAGCAGCCCTCAAGCCTACGGCTCCCCTCGTAGCATTGGTCTCTCACCACTAGGTAAGCCAGTGGCTTGTTTGTTCTTGTCTGCTGGCATTGCTTGGTGTTGTTAGACATGTGTTTAGGATGGAACGTGAAAGCCTTGTGTGCATATTAAACACTGTATTAATTAAGAGGAGGTAAATAAATCATTATAACAGTGTTCAGCACTGTCATTGTAATGTCTTGTATCCTTGAAGTAGAATTTACACATAGATGCAGTAGCTATAAATTCATAACACTAAATAAACTTCCAATTAATACATTCTTATTCCTAAAATAGCTGATACATGTCACCTTTAAACATACAATCACCTTTCTATTTGCACCAGAAGATCTACATGGGAGTTTTTTAGTCTATTAATGGCCATGCTGTACATTTTTTTTGCAGTTATTTGGGACATTACTTTCTTACATACAATATTTTACAATAAAAGTGGCTGTCATTCAGAAGCTCTGTGTGAAACTGATTATGTATATCACATTAACCCTTTAAAGACAGTGGTAACTATATGCCCCACTTGCTTCAACAGTCAGTGACTCTTCATTTTTTATTTGTGGGTTTTGTATAATCCTTTATGTAAACAAGGATTATTTCCTTAAACAGCTTTAACATGTTGATCTTTGTACTGAAGTAGAGTTGCATTTTCTTTGTGGGTTGAATTTTTGAATATTATTTAGAAGAGCTTTAAGTTTGAATGGGTAATTGAGAAGCTAATAGTAAGCTCAGCTAGTCAAGAAAGTCCTCATATTTCTCATTTAGTCATTGTTTCGGTATAAAATTTCAAAAATAAATAATAGCAACATTAAAAATCCAGGTTTCCACTAGATATATAAATGGTTGACTAGATTGCTTTGTCAAAGTTTTAGAATATTCTGTGTTATGTTCCAAATCTAAAATATGTTAGTTAATGTGTGTCTGTACAGGAGGACTTCCATGTTATAGAATGTAGTGGGGATCTGTGTGTGTCTGAACTATTATTGTACATGAACCATAGCATTCAATTTTTTGTTTACATTTCTGTTTTATGTATGTATTATCTTGTGGATGCAATTAACATTCCTCAAGCTTGGTCATGGGATCTGTCATTGTATTGGGTTAATTTTCTTGTAACTGCTTGGTTGCCTGTTTTACTGCTTTTTTGAATGGGGGTTGTTTTACTCACATGTTGTTCATGCAGTCTCTGAACATGAATAGCATGATTCCTTCTCCTGAATTTCCACCATTTGCTATGCAGGTACCCCAACCTAACTTCATCTGATCTTTGGGAATATAAAAAATGTGTGGTTATGTTATTAATATACTCTGACAGATAGCTGTGGCATTTTTTGGAAAATCAGTGGCTCTGCAGAAAATATTCATTTTTGTATTGAATATATTGCTAGGGTTTACTTGGCCCCATGCTGCTGCATTTTCTATGTGGATAAAAAAAATATCGTTATAAAAACCTTTTCAGATTTATTTATTACACTTTACACAACAATGGGGACTAGAAAATTAACAACTGTCTCTGATATTTAACAAAACATGTATTCTGTGCATATATACTCACAGGATATTGCCATCTTCTGAGCAAGTTTATACAGTCATACTAAATGTGTGATGATGGGGAGATTGCATATTTGGTATTTGAATCTGTATTGCATTTCTGCATGGCATGGTATATGTTATCAGTAAATGTCAGTATTGACCCTCCTCTTTGTTTTTAGAGTATGCATATGTATGTGTTTTGTCTGTTTTTGTGCATTTTTTAGCAGCATAGCACACCGTTTTCCATGTTTAATGTAGGATATACTGATACTGTTTTTGATGTAATGTGCTTATATTAGTCCCTGCGATTTCCAAAAGAAGTTAAAATATCTTATGAATTTTATGTAAAGATCATTAAGATTTCTTGATAATTGTCTGTTTTTTTACTTAAAATGGTGTGGTTTAGGAACAACATTAATAATACATAACATCATAACAACAATTTGAAAGGTGGTAATGAAGCCTGGAAATTAAAAAAAAGAGACACTAAATGACCGGAAATAGCTCAAATGACATTTATATGACCTATTTTAAGATTAAGAGCACCAATGAAATATCCAATGAAAAAATTAAATGTATAAAATATTACCAGTTAAACTGAATAATACCCAAAGAATTGGGTTAAATAAATACATTATGAAGACAGGTGCTAAGCAAGCACAGGAATACAAACTTTTGGAGCAAGAAGGTCATGGACACCTGGAAAATGATGGAGAGAGTAACTCTGGCTAGAGTATGCAAAAGAGGTAATTAAGCCTAGTTTATGTTAATGGTAAGATGCGTGAAGGATTAATATTTTCATGTTATGAGACCTTGTTGTGTGATAGGAATGTTAGTTTTCCTGCAGTTATCCCCAGAAGCAGATCAACTGAACCATAATTTATAAAGGCTGCTGGTATGTTTTGTGTGCTTGAAATACCATTTGTTTGAGGTTATATTAAAAGGTAAGAACTGTCAGTGTCTAAGAGAAGGTAAATGCTGAAATAACGGACAGTGAGGTAACTGTGTCTTAAGTAACGTATCACAGATCTAGGATAATTACCACCACTACAGCCATAGTTCTCATTTGTCATTTCTTTAAACCCTATCCTAAATATGAGACTGAACTTCTGAAATAGAAAGTGAACCAGTACCATGTTGGTGTATGTCAAATCATTAATAAACCTTTGCTGTATGGGAATAGGGGATTTAAATCCCCATATTATGGGGTATCTGGCTGAACATTACCTTAAGGTTTAATGGTATGCTAGTTTGATGTTTGGCCAGCTGCATCACATGGACAGTAAGGGTTAATATTTGAATTATAGTGCTATTAGTTAATGATAATGTTTGGATGATATTTACTTTTGTATTGTTTCCATGCACTGTTACAGTTTTTAAATAGTAGTATACAGGTGTTATTTATGACTTACCATTTGTTAAACAGTATCAGGTGCCATGGTAGACTCGCAGCACAGTGCTGTGTCTCATCGGCGTGGCTCTACACAAAGTGATACAAGTGCTCTAGTGAGTAGCCTTACTCATGACTTGTCCCAGTCTCCCAGTGGATGTACAACAACAGCCAACACTCGTGATCTATCACCAAGTCCTAGCAGCAGTTCCCTACAGATGCGCTCAGACGGGAGTCCAAACAGCACACCTGGCACACCTAGAAAGAATGAGCAAGTGTGTTAAATTGACCCCGTGGTTACTTTAAAATTCATAATGTATAGAATAATTTCTGTTGATATCACACTGTGCATTTAATTTCCACAATGTATTTTGGTATTTGAAGTCATTTCAGTTTTTGATTTTGTTAGCTTACCATTTTAATTATTTATTTGAGACTTACGTAGTTGAGTTATGAGTCTTTTCATGCTGATCATTTTCATTTCACACAGGTTTTCCATAACAGTGACAACTTTACAAATGATATTTATCTTGTGTTCTCTTCTGAGGGTCAAACATTATATCCTTGTTTATTTTCTTGTGGTTTTAAGTTGTCACTTCTGTTTGTGCATGTCTTCACTTGGTTCATTCACTGTAATCTTGGCCTGTCCACAGATCTGTTTCTTTTGGTTTCAATTCCATTTCCTTTTTGGGAATTCTGTTTTTCTCATTTGCTTTATATGTCTGAACTGCATAGGTCTGCTTGTTTTGCAAATCCTCTTGTAAGCAATCAGTTTGCATTATATTCTTCACTTATTTATTCTGAAGATATCTGTTTTTGTACCAAGAGCGTAATTTTGGTTGCCTGGATTTTACTTATTTCCTGTCTGTAACAGACCATGTCTCTACTGCTGATGTGCTACACAATCATCAATATTATTGTGTAGATACTAATCATATTATGTGTGACATGACATTTTGGGTATGAAACATTTGCTTGTGTTAATGTATCACATTTACATTTCATGAATGGGAAAACATTATCCTGGATGGCAGTTAAAGGTTAGGTGGGAAGAGTGAGAAGGCTTGTATTGGGCCTTTACTAACAGTGTTCTTTTAACTATTTTACTGCATACTTTATGTAGCATGCTAGTTATGGTCCTAGTTGCATACTATGCCTCCATAAAGATCCTTTTTCTGCAGGAAACATTGGGGTACAGTCCCAGGGCAGTGACTCAGACTGGGACCCAAACAAGTCCTGAGAGTGTTGCAGCCAGCATGAAGGGCCACTTTAGCATTGGGGCTAGTGGAAACAAGGAAGAGCGACTGTCTCCAAAGCTGGGGCGCAAAGATCGAAGTGGCACAGGCAGTAAGGCACGCAGTAGCAAACGAGCTATGTCACCTGCACCAACACAACAGTCCAGCTCCAACCGTGATCACAACATCACTCTTACAAAAGAGCCAGTGAAGGAAGCTGTAAGCCCATCTATTGCTGAGAGTTTGAGAGCCATTTTTGCAGCATTTCTATGGCATGAAGGAGTCGTACATGATGCCATGGCATGTGCGTCTTTTCTCAAGTTCCATCCCAGCTTGCCAAAACAGGGAGCTCTTGTTGTGACTCGCCAGCCTGTAGGAGGTGCAGGGGGTGGAGGAGTTGCAGAAAGGAGGAGATCTGAACTTACAAAAGAACAACGAGCACGCCAGCGGCACTCAGTTGAAGTTAGTACAGCAGGAAATTACCTTCATATTCAGCCATCAACACTAGAAACCCTGACAAGATCAGCAGCAAATGCTAATGCAAACCGAAACAGAGCCAAGAAGCAGCATGGAGAGGCTGTGATTAAGGAAGAGAGCGGTGGCAGCAGTGGTGGTGGTAGTGCTGCGGCAGCAGGAGATGTTGTTGACAAATTGGCTTCTCTTCCTGAAACTTCTTTTCACACAGTGGCAGTACTACCTCCAGCTCTCAAGTCCCTGGTATACTTGTGGGAGGAGTTGAGTACCAACTGCCTGCAAGCCATCATGCAGCAAGTTGTTCTGCCCAGTCCCACAATGCCAGCCAGACCTACTAAGAAGTCTCTTAGTGCAGACAAGATGGTTAGTGCCATGGGCAGTAAGGGTTTACAAGACAGTAAGGAGCAGCGGGGGGCCAATGAGAGGGAAATTAGTAGTAAGAAAGCTGGTCGCAAGAAGAAAGAATGGAAACCCATGGGACGGGTCAACCTGCTAGGGGAAGTAGCTGGTGGGCTAGCAGGTGGTGCAGCAATGTTAGGAGCAGGAGTGGGGGGAATAGAGAGAGAAACAGTGTGTGAATTGTGTGGAAATATGTACCCACACCCTGTCACGTACCACATGCGACAGGTTCATCCCGGTTGCGGAGGTCATGCGGGAGGAAAGGGCTACAACAGTGGGGGAAACTTTTGTGTGGGTTGGGCTGGGAACTGTGGAGATGGAGGTGTTGGGGGAAGTTCCTGGTATCTTGTGTGTGACACATGCAGAGAAAAATACCTCCGATCCAAGAAGCAGAGTGGCTTGCCTGGTAAAGATAAGTCTGGCAGCAGCAAGAAGAGCAGCCTAGGGAGAAAGAAGTCAGCAGGTCCTGGTTCATCTTCCAAGTTGCTATCTCCTACTGCCAGCTCAGCTCCATTAGAGACACACATAATCATGAGAAACAATGCTATGTTTCTGCTTGACCTTGCTAGTGCTGCAGGTTCAGTCTTTCCTTCTCACCAGCACAGGCGAATCTCAGTCAACAACATGCCATCAGTTTCAGAAAACTACAGTCCACCAGATCCCCCTGGACCATTTTCACCAGCAGGCCCATTTCAGTGTCTGCAGGCACTTGGCATTCACCCGTCACAGCAAATACATGAAGACCAACAGTTCTTGGAGGAAACATTCAGGAGGCAGACAATACAACAGAGTTTGGTGGAAGCAGCTTTCAGTGGGAATCTTCATCTTGGTGCTCCATTAGGATTACGGGTATGTACCTTGACTTTGTTTCCTTAACTACGTGCCTTACTGTTTTTTTCTTACATATTTAGAGTCAAGAAGAAGCGTATTCTTTTAGTTAAATTTGTGATGTGTGGAAATAAATAAAGGAATGTAGATCAGTAATTTTTTTCAAAACATAATGTAATATAATAAATTTAATGTACTGTAAATATGTTATTTAATGAGTTTTGCCTATCTCATTATCTGTTTAGCCATTGTCAGAGGGCCCTCTGAGTGATAATGAGAGTGAAGGAAGCAAAGGACGTACATTTCATCGTTCAGTCTCAATGGGTACAAATGGTGCCCCATGGAGCAGAAGAGAGGGTGATGGACGTGTCATCATGATGCGAAAACGAAACAACAGCAGTGGAGAGATGGCCAGCGGTAAGCCACTCTGCTCTTTGTGTGAAGGTATTGTTTTATTTTATGTTTGAGCCACAACTCATTAATTTGTACATGTTTATGATTTTGATGTCCCATATTCAGTTCTGGATTAAAGTACTGAGGTTTGGAAATAAGGATGAAAAGATACTTGAAATCTCATTCTGCCATTCAAGAATAACAGAGATAGTGATGTGTATGAAACTCAGTGGTATACTTTTTGGATGTCACATTGGTAGCTGACATTTCTCATATGCCACTTTCTTGTGTCTGTTGAGACTTGTCTATTTATAATACCTTGGGTCTGAAATTGACTGTGACATGTCTATTATTATTTGTAGTGTTTTCAATAATAGACTTGTATCTTAATTCTGAAGATTTGTGATGATGGTGCATTGTTGAAGCAATCTAATTTCTGGACATTATCCATTGTCCCAGTTTTAATAAAACATGATGTGTCGGAGATTGGAGCCTATCTCCATCTTCAGGTAAAAACCTACTATGTTGGGCCCAATCGACAGAACTAGTCCGTATCTCCGGACACAGCAGTAGTGAAAGTTGTGGCATATAAGCTAGGCGGGACAACACATACATGGGACATAAGGAAAAAAAATCATTCTCCAAGAATTACACATCATAGAACAGGTACCAACTCCTGTCTATGTTGTGTAATGTGTTGTCCCACATAGTAGGTTTTATCTGAAGACAGAGATAGACTCCAGTCTCTAGAACGTCGTATTTTATTAAAACTGAGATGATGGATAATGTCCAGAAAGCAGTGTGCTTCTGTAGACTTGTATGTTTTGCTCATTGTTACAAAGCTTTAGTGGCCATTTCTGAATCAGACAAAAGAAATAAGGAAATTAATAAGTGAATACAAAAAAACCATAGGAGATTGCAGATTTGCAAAGAACCTAGCCAGAAATATTTTTATTCTGTTTTTGGGTGGCTTTTTATTTATTTGCTTATTTATTTATTTTGAAAAACTTTTTATAGTTTCAATTGTATAATGATACTGTGTTCATTTTCCATACAGATGGTGGCTCTTCACTTCTCTGTTACCCATCAGCTGCCCTTCAGAAGTTAGTTCCATGCATGGACCAGTCTGCTATTGTGTCAGAACATTTTAAGGGCTGCATGTTGGACATTCTGAATCGCCCAGTCATGAGTTTCCTGTTGCAGCAGCATAACTTGGAAGCTTTGCAGCTGGCCATGAGACAAGCTTTGCGGAAAGCCACATGTCGAGTCTATGCAATGCAGGTAAAAATATTTGGAAACTGCTACATGTTAGAGGGTGGGAATGGAATACTTGAACGGGGAAGGAAGTCTGCAAGAAACTGAGTCCACAGAAATGCTAACAGAAGGTGACAGCCCTGCTCACTGTTGCAGCGTGGTGGATATGAGACTTAAAATATTTAATTAATATCTTTATTAAGAACTCAATGTCATCAACTTAGTGTATATCTTCACAGTCATCATTTCATGATTGAAACTCAGTTAGTAATCTCAATACTATTGTTGCTATGGAAACCAAAGCCTCCGTAGGTCCATCAAATTTTTGTCCATTTCCATTCAGTTCATTGCTTATTCTGTAACAACTGTGAACGTTTCCCAGTTTTCATAGGTTAACACATGGCAGCCAGTTCTGCTACAGTGTAATGATTTTGTTAAATAACCTAAAAGAAGAATTGCTCACAATGAACTAACAGTGTTTTCGTTTCTTACACTTTTGCTATGCTGTGTGTTCATAACTTGAGGGTTTTGCTCATTAAGGGAGAACACAGATTGAGGGTGTTTCAGAACTCCATGCTATGAAAATATTTAGACCTAAGAGGGATATAATAACAGAATGGTGGAAAAATTGTGTTAATGATATGATTTATATTTTAAATGTTTTACCATATATTATTACAATGATAAAATTAAGGAGAAAGAGATATGTAGAAGTTCAAGTTCATGTATATTTTTGTTCTTTCTGTATGTGGTTATTTGAAAAACAGATATTTGTTTCTGACAGGATAAAATGTTATAATGCATTCTGCACATGCAGTAAGACTCTAAAGCAGTCTAATGTTGCAGATCCCTGCTTCAACATCATCATCATCATCTTCTTCTTCCTCCTTCTCCTCCTCCTCCTAAAATGTTTCCATTTCAAGAGGGCAGTCTATTGCAGATCTCTAACTAATCATTTAATTTGTTATTTTTTAAAAATACATTTACTGCTCTATCTCAATAGGCTTTGAATTGGCTTCTTAGAAGTGTCACTCAACCTACATGCCTTCATGATCTGCTGTGGTGGTTTGTAGCTGCCCTCATGCCAGCTCCTCCTGACCCTGATGCTGAGGGTGAGGAAGACAACAGCAGAACTGATAAGAAGGATGAGCATGTGAGAAAGGAATTTTCCTATAATTACTTTCAGTTACTTAAAAAATTATAGACATTAATCTTTAAATGAAAGTGCATATATCTTGGAGATTTGGGAGGAATATTACCTTAATTAATGTTATTTTATAAGTAATTGTTAGAAGTCTTATTCAAGAGGCTGTAGCTTTTGTACAGTCTCTTTGTACACGTAATTGCTGAACTTCCTTTTACTTTTTTCATATGGAATCTTATTTTATCATGTCGATGTTGGTATTCAGAGTTGTGACACTGTGTGGACATTTAGGTACAGTATGTAACAATTTTTTGAAGAAACATGCTATTTCCTTTAGGGCTGAAGGTAGAGGCACTATCTCATGTCTTTATCATGATCACTTTTTGACAAATTCAGATTCAGGAAATATTTTTTTAAAGTTAAAACACTTAATTTTAACAATAACATTTAGCCTTTATCATATGGAAACAATAAGACTGGATATGCCTGTCCCAAAGAAATGGCAAGATATGAATTGACCTATTTTATGAGTCATTATCATCCTGATGATGGAGGCAGTAAACACCTCTGAAGTGTCAGTTTCTATGAGACTACATTGTGCAATATCCCAGAAGACAGTCATCTCCAAAGAAATATTTGTTTGCATACTATTTCCAGGATTTGCATGGTGTGTGTGAGCACCCGCTGAGTGACATTAGTATTGCTGGGGAAGCAGTTCATCCTCTCCCCTCCACATTCCACACTCTGCTACAAACAATAGCAGACCTCATGCTGTTGCTTCCTATGGGCTCAGCACTTCAGCAGATGGCCATTAGATGTTGGGGACTTCGCTTCACACAGTCTGACCACATGTTCCTACACAGGTTAGTGTGTGGTCTGTAAGTCAGAATTGTTTTCATTTATATTTTAAATAAGGAAGATTTGAATTTCGCCGGAATGTGATCCACTGTAATGGGGAAGCCTGGATGGTTACTGTTACAGAGTTTGATAGACTGCTTATAAAGTCATTCACTCACAAAAAGATGCATGTCGCTGTCAAACTGATATTGTGTTCTTAGATCTACAGATGGAAATCATAAAGGAGCAACTGGGATTGTGCAGAGGATATTTCATTACCTTCCAGTAATTTTATCGTAGGCATAACATTGATGATCATTACATGAGGGCATGCGTTGTTATAAAGAATGATGATTCTTCATGTTAGCTCCTTGACCCTTTGTCTTGATGGCAGAAGTGCACAGTGGGCTGCATTCTTTTAAATTATGGTTGCTAGTAATCATTCTAAGGCAGATTCTTACTGCATCTCGATTTTATATCATATTATCGCATCATTTTTATAAAATTCTGACATTTTATGTTACAGTTTTTGTAGTTTTTACTGTGTTCTTCAAATTCAGTTATCTGGATTCAAATGAGGCATAAATTAATTTCATATGTTTGTTTCCAGGAGTCATGTATTCAGCAATATAAGCAAAATTCTCTCTCGTTCAGAGGAAGAGCAAGATGATATCAGTATGAGCATGCATGAGAGTCATCAGTCCACATATTCTCAGGTTAGTCACGATTTGTTTCTGAGTATCTTAAATGATGCTTCCTCATCTGTTTACTATGTGTACAATGTTAAATGATTCTAAATTCTGAAGTGGGAAGGAAGTAGTTGATTCTGTGTTGTGGTACTATTCTAGCAGTTTCCAGGAGGGATTGAGGAAAACCATGAACAAACCCTGTTAAGGCAATGAATTGAAGCCAAAATGCTTACACCATCTTGTTAAATATTAAAGTTTTTATGTGAATTTAAAAGTATGAGTTTTATGATTCAGCCAATGACATAATATTGGTATAATAAATCATCCATTGTCACATACCTTTGGAGAATCTTTATAGAGTAAACAGTATTTCAGAAAATACAGTGTTATTGGAATTAAATTCCTTTTTTGTATTTTGCAGGTTACAAGCTGTGTAGAGACATTAAAGGACCTGACTGCCAATGTAGAAATCAAAGCATCAAGCAGACAAGCAATGGTTGGCAGCCTCACAGACAGTTCTACTGAAACTTTCTGGGAGTCAGGAGATGAGGACAGGTAATATTACAACATAATGCGGTAAAGTGAAGTGTGGATAGTCACTAGTATACTGATATAAGAAAGGGCCAATTTACTATTGAAAAAATATGATTTCAGACTTTTATATGCAGATCAAGCAAAATAGATGTGACTGTAGATTTTCATTTTAATTGCCTTCTTACATAATTAAGAATGCTTCAGCTTGATATGTATATACTCACACATATCAGAAAGCTGATACAGTTAACCCTTGTTATTGTATTTCTGTTATTTATGCCTTCACACCAAGAGCTGAAATGTGTACTCCATTTCAGAATTCATTCAGTTTCAGAGTGTTCTTTGCAATTTTATATCTGCATACATAATACTGTGATATTCATCTATTACCAAAACAAATCTGTTGTTGATAAAGCTATTCAGTGATTGTGGTAATCATGAGTTTGCAGTTGGTTGAAGTTTATAATATTGAAACAAATAACACTGAAATAACTTGATAATAAATGCAAGATGTTTGATGTGCGATATGTTATGAACAATAAATGTATTCTGTGTCCATATAACAGTTTAATACCATGAGGTTAATAATGGAAATGTAAAATAGAATATATGACTACCAATCAAAGAGACTTTTTTGCACATGTCTAAACTTTAATGAAATTTTGTACTTTCATATTCCACACTCACATCAGTTGCAAATTATGCTATGTAATAGCAGAAGAACATTTCCAGCATAGTGCTGGACACTAGTTTAATTGATTAGGTTTAACTGATCATTATCAGTCTCCACATTGCTCTGTATAACTAATAGTAATGGTGGATATAATGGCAAACATTTGTTTTTACTTTTATTTCAGAAACAAGACTAAAACAATAACCATAGTATGTGCTTCCCAGTCATTCCCAAGAATGATATACATTCACATTGATAACTGTAGGGATCTGGCAGTAAGTAAAAGAAATTTTATCTCTGTGATATTTATTTGCATGTGAAGTTGCAAAACTGTATATGACTACCAACAATTCTAACTCTACTGTATAATTGTCTTTCATTTATAGAACAAAGTGTCAAGTGTCACTTTCCAGTCTGGTCCTAATGTAGATGAACTCTACAAGCTGCGCCAAGTTGAAGTTGAAAACCGTTCCACTGGCTGGGTGAGCTGTCCAGTTCTGGGTAAGATAATATATAAGTTCCTGTAGCTGAATGCTAGTATTTTGAATTTAACTATATGTTAAACATAAAAACAAAACATTGTGGATCACAAATAATTTTGTTTCTTTTGGTGGGGTGGTTGTTGAACTTCATTGGTCACTCTGGATATATCTAACTTGTAAATGAGACGTTGCCAACAGCTGTTGTAGTGACATTAATTTTTAGCCTTGTTTCTGTCAATTTTGCAATCCTTGCTTAAGATTGACTCCATTATGGACTTTTGATACTGTACTGATGGGCTGTAATGTTTCATTTTACCAGAAATAACTGTTTACTTCTCTGTTCAAACTTTTAAGATGGAATAGTATAATTTCTCATGTTGATAATTTAATTTTTTCATCTGCTTTTGCCACACTGAATCCTTTTTAGATGCTCGTCATACAGTGGTTCGCTTGGAGCTAAAAGGACCTGACAATTCACTACGTCTTCGCCAGATACGTGTTCTGGGAGAGATAGAAGGTGAGAGCCTGAAGCTTGGTCGTCAGCATAGTGCACAAACCATACAACAGCGCAACTGTGAGACAGAAACATTAAGGGTCTTCAGATTGATAACCTCACAGGTATATTCAGACTTTTTTTTTCTTATTATATTTTAGGCATGCTTGTAAGTTCTTAATTTTAATTTTTAAGATGGATTTTTTGACGTCGAAACTTACAGACTCCGTGATATATATATATATATTAGACTGAACTAATATTTTTTTTAATATTCACTGAATAGTGGTTCTGCTTGGAACATACGTTTTTCCTTAAACTAATAGTACAACTTAATTGGTATTCAGATAAACACATTTAATTTATAAACTATCCAGTTAAAATAGAAATATTGAAGTGTCTTATCTCTACCACTACCTCTGTTTCTTATGTTTTGTTTGGTAGCAGTATTTTATATTACAAATGCTCTGCTGAATTTAGTAATACTACTGACTCATTATCACTACTATTCTTCATTTTCACACAGGAAGTTTTGTGGGCACTTCCCCAGGAATTGCTCTTCTCTTTCTCTGCTGTTTGTTTTACAGATTGTGGTTTTGTGATTTCTAGTTATTAAATGAGATAAAGTAAAAAGTTAAGATTATATGTGATACGTTTTATTCTCCCTTTGGTGTAGGTGTTTGGAAAGTTAATCCTTGGAGAGCAGCCTTTGGATGCTGAAGGGGAAGAGGGGAAAGGTGAAGGTGAAGAAAGCAATGATTTAAAGGAGCACATGGTTGGGATTCTTTTTAGTCGGAGTAAGTTAACACATTTGCAAAAACAGGTGAGTTTCACGCACTACACTTACAATTATACTTTGTACTTGTTTGTAGAGAAAAAAATTAATATTTGTTTCTTTAGAAGTCTTGTTTCAACCCTTTGTGATTGGGTTTACAGACCTCAGTGGCTAGACAGTTTCAATCTTCTTCTTCTACTTCTAACTTTGTTTCCATTTTATACAAGTGGTGGTAACAGGTTGACTACTGTTCAAAAGTGGAATGGAAGAGGTTAAATTAGTAGTAAAATGTGGCTGAATACAAAGAAATGCTAATATATTGGACACTCCAAGAAAAGTGGAGACTTGCACTCAAATTTAGAATACTTTCTTTTCTTCCTCCTCTTCTTCTTCTGGTTCTTAGGTTTGTTTCCATTTTGTATGGGTTGATTAATGAAAAGTCTCCAATCTCTTCTGTCTTTTTCCTTTCCTTTTTGATTTCTTACAAAGTTTTTCGTCTAGTACCTGGTGGGTATTCTTCCTTCAAGTGTTAATTCTGTCCTTGGCATCCTTGTTCTGTAAATGGCCAAACCATTGTAGTAATTTTTTCTCTCCATATTTTGGTTTTCAAACTTCTTGATTATTATGCACTGAACAACATTAGGTTCCATAATGTTTTCAATAATGGTTTCTTAAATTGCTAAAAT